CGATTTACAACTGAAACATTATATTTTATTGATATATTTATGTTTTATTTATTTGTCTAAGACATAAGAAAAGATATAAGGAACATTTAATCATATCCAAGTCTATTTCAAAATATGGTGATGCTTGAAACTTTCAATGGAAAATATCGTCTACCCCCCTTTTTTCAAGAGCTGGAATTATAATGGATAATTTACCGTTAAAAGCTGGTATTAAGACAATTCATCAATTACCACTGAACTGTTCTTTTAATTAAACAAAGATTTTATGTCCAAATTGCTATTTCTATTGAATTAAATGGTTCCAAAATGTAGGCGGGAATCGAGAGTTCGCGTGCGTATTTCTTTGAACTGTTTCAAGACTCTAGATGAAGATGTTTTTGACATTCTTGTACCAGAAGAAGAATTAAGCTCTTTGTGAACCTTTGTGGAACCAAATTACAAATATGATAAACCTAAATACTGCCTCCAAAGGAGTTTGGCATGAAACTTGATCAAGTTCATGAGCACTATAGAGTTATGCAGAGAACTTATGAAGAAGTGAACAAAATGACGAAAATGATGGGAGAACTGGGAAAAAAAACTTTCAGAGAAAAAGTCAGAATCATTACTAAGTAGTCACTGGAAATATTGTTGACCAACTAGCACCACATGGTATCTATGGAATCAAAGATGATGGTCAAAAAAGTTTAAACTGGAGAAAAGTACTCTAGGAGCAGAAGCCAGTGGAGGAGTAGCAAGTTGTGTTTCTGCTGACAGTGGCTTAGTTAATCCTCGCCCAACTAGCAGTATATCACAAATTAAATCTGGGAAAATAACTTCTACGAGTGGTGCTAATAGTGGCTTGGAACAATCTGGCCCATTTAGCACACGCATCAATGGACCCCCTCCTCCTAAGATGGCTACATTTGATGGACGCAGTGAGTGGTGCCCATTCAAAACCCAGTTCGATAGGATTGCAGACAGATATAAATGGTCGGAGGATCAACGTTTTGAGAGACTTTTTGAGTCCCTAAGAGACAAAGCACTTAAATTCTATTGCAACTGCACCAAAGCAGTTCAAAATAACTACAAGGACCTATGCAAGAAATTCAAATCTAGATTTGGTCAAAGAGTTACCCTTGACCGTAAGGAGAAAACTCCAAGACATAAAACAGGAAAATAAAACAGTTGAGGAATTTGCAGAAATAGTCCAGGAAATGGTTGCCAAGGGATATTCAGATGCTCCAGAAAGTGTTATAGATATTATAACCACTGACACTTATTTAAAAGGCATCGAAAACAAGCGTGCGGCACCAACAGCTTTAGAAAGTGCACTACAACAGGTCAAAGCAGCAATAAATAACCAAATGCTAATTCTTGGAGTCCGTAAACCTGAAGTCAGGAAGGTTCGATTCAACGATGCATACAGTGACAGTGACGAGGAGCCTGAATTTAGCTCACCTACAGTTCGTCCCAAGAGTCATGTTGACAAGCTTGCTGCAGATGTTGATTCCTTGAAACTAGGTCTGGAAGGAACCAATACCAAGATTGAAAAACTTATTGGACTCATTTCAAATCGCTCAAGATCCCCCCAGAGGACAATCTCAATCCAGATCATCCTCTCCAGTTGGAGAAGGTGCCTGTTATAATTGTGGGGAAATAGGTCATTTTGCAAAGGACTGCAAACAACAGCGTAAATCAAGATCACCATCCCCACAAGCTAAAATAAGCCCTTCATTTGATATGAGACTCTATCAATGCAAAAAAGAACCACAGAATTTGATGATTTGATGATGCCAACATTGAAATAAAAGGGATTCGGTTTAAATGGCCAGTTATTGTTGCAGACATAACTGATCAAGAGATCATTGGTCTTGACTTCCTTAGTGCCAACAATGCTTTGATTGACCTCAGTGAGCAAAGTATAAGCATTCAAGGAATGAAACTTAAAGCCGAGGTTCTAAAAGCTGAGAAGAAACCAGTCAGTGTAGCCAGAGTTTTACTTAAAATCAAGCTTCGGATTCCACCTCATACCTCTGTACACATAGTGGGCAAATTAGATAACATCCTGGAGGAAGAAGTTCTAATACAACCTTCAAGAAGCATGAAAGGGTTACTCTCTCCTTATGCTATAACACAACAAGAATCTACTGATGTGCCTATCTTGCTCAAAAATGTGTCAGCACATAGAGTAATCTTGCCAAAAAATCATGTTCTTGGAACAGCAACACCATTTGATGGAGTGATTGAGGACCCTGGGCAAATTCAGGATGAGGGATACAGTTGCAAGACCTTCAAACACCTACCTAGCTATCTGTCAGACTTGGAAGAGATCAATTGAGAATCTTTCCCAGAACCAAGCCAACACGGTACATGACCTACTCATTGAATTTCAAGATGTTTTTGCAGCAGATGACATGGACATAGGCCTTTTCAAAGGAATCACACATAAAGTAAACACAGGGGATTCACAACCAGTCCTTGCCAAACTTAGACATACTCCACTAGGCTTTGAGAAGGAGGAGGAAGGAGGAGGAAGCCCACTTGAAGAATTTATTAGATAATGGAGTCATAGTTCTATAAAAGTCGGAATGGGCTTCTGCGCCAGTACTAGTGCGCAAAAAAGATGGCACTGTGCGATACTGTGTTGACTTCTGGAAAGTAAATAGCCTGACCAAAAAAGATGAATTTCCGCTCCCAAATAATGAGGAATGCATGGATACCTTAAGTGGAAACGTCTTTTTGAGCACACTGGATATGGCAAAAGGCTATTATCAAATAGAAGTGGACCCAAATGACCGTCATAAATTGGCCTTCATAACAAACTATGGATTGTTTGAGTTCGTTAGAATGCCATTTGGCACATGTAACAGTCCAGCCACATTTCAAAGAATGATCCAGCTTGTTCTGCATGGACCAAATTGGAGGGAATGTTTGGCTTATTTGGATGATGTAATTGTGCTGGGGACTTCATTGGACAACCACCTTCTCAACCTCCGAGCTATCCTTAGCAGGTTTAGACAACATAATTTGAAATTAAAACCTAGGAAATGCTGTATGTTTAGAAAAGAAATACAGTTTTTGGGTCGAATTGTTAGCGAGAAAGGTGTATCTGCAACTCCGGATAGTATACAGTGTGTAGCCCAGTGGCCTGTACCAAGAAACCGAAAGATGTGGAGACTTTCTTGGGATACATGAATTATCACAGAGAACACATCAAGAATTATGCTGCCCTGGCCTCCCCATTGCATGACCTTACCAAAAAACCCCACATTCAAACAAAAGCTCCTCTTGGCCAGTTCCATGCAGGCATATCCATGGAAAGAATACATATAGATATTCTAGGACCATTCATAGAATCAGCTACGCAGCTATGTTAAGGGCGCGCAAAGGAAATATGCTTTAAAATATTCGGAGAAAATCAATGGGTGCGTTCACAGTTCTACCATTAGTACCGACTTTCAATATACCATTGGTGCAATAATTTGACAATGGTACCAACTGTACCAATAAACCCTGAACGGATATTGGCATAAAAATGTAACTATTTTACCAATGTAACCAATGGGAGTTCAATGGAAATGTTGATAATACTGAATTACAGATTTCTTTGTCTTCTTAGTTATTGGCACATGCCAGAATCGCAAGAAAATCATAGCAGACTCAGAGCTGAGAAACAAACCACATCAGGATCACACTTCTTTAGTTGCCATATCTATGAGTCTTATATAATCCATTTAATGGATCATGTCTAAATCATACTTCAAAGTCATGAATTTAAGTGTTTGATATGATTTTTATGTGATTTTGGCATGATTTGTTAAAAAGGCTTAGAGGAAAAATCGTTTATATCATTTGTGAATCCGGGATTCAAGTCTTTCTAGCTTGTTGCCATGTCGATAAGTAGCTGTGACATCATTTACCAACATTAACCACACTCTAGACTGTCTGCAGGAAAATATACCATTGGCAAAAAACATTGGTACCCCTGGCATGCCAATGGTAATTAATTTTACCAACGGCAACTTTTGCCTACCAACGGCAGAACTGTGAACGCACCCAATATAATTTTGATATCTTTTTTATTAGCATGAGTTTAAATTTAATGGGAATTGTACTAATGCATATGTATGTATGGGGTCTCAATCTAGTTCGGCCAAAGCGACTTTACGTACATCAGCTGTATGTCACGTGACATGGTTAAAATTAGAAAAAATATGTACGGATACAAAGATCGTAAAAGTCAACGATATACGGATAATATTTCACGAAGAATTTGATTGTGTTCTCTTTAAGACAAATTTCTTAACCCGAAAAGTGCTGGAAGCAACTTCCCCATGCATGTAGCCGTCTCTTTAAAAACCTCGTGCCATTACACTATACGCATTGAAATAATGTCAAATTACAGGAAAAATCAACAGCGCACAACTTGCTCCCAGCACTTTTGAAAATAGTAGAGACAATAGCTACATGTGTACAAAATATCATAATCTATAGTTAGGCGGATATCGTTGAACTTTTGAGATTTCCGAGGGGGTGTGCATGTGATTCTAGTGCGTTTGTGTATAAAAGTGCATGACTGCGGCTCTATAAGATAACTATTTCTTATCAATTAATTAATGCATTCCAAAATTTGGCTCAATTTAAGTCAGAACACGCTTATTTAGTTTTAGATTTCACATTATAGTTTGATCTGCGTCTCAAGTGCAGAGACACTGCGTGTCAAACTAGTCTATGACGTCATATCTGTAAGTACAGTGAGATCAAGTTGGCTTTAATTTTACATTCAAATAGTGTTGTAATGACAAGTTAAGTTGCGCATAAATTTATGGTTACAATAATTAGGAGAAATCACTGTATGTAAAAGTGTATGAAAAAGAAAATTATTATTTATTAGTCGAGGTTCATTTGTGCAGTTTCACCGTGACGTCATAATCGATTTTCCCGAAGCTCTGCGTAGACTGATCTACCTTTGGTAGTCCTTAACCTAGCTGCGTAGAGGGAATCGCTATATTGTAATGATGATTGACCAGTTTACGAAGTGGCTAGAATGCTATGCCGTTCCTAACCAAGGAGCAGAACAAGTGGCCATGTCATTTGTTGAAGGATTCATTGCTAGAATAGGGTGTCCTCTTCAGATCCACTCGGATCAAGGTAGAAACTTCATGAGTGACTTATTCCAAAGACTGTGTAAAATGCTAGAGATCACAAAAACACGCACAACTCCATACAGATCATGTGCGAATGGACAAATAGAGCGGTACAATAGAACCGTCTTACAGTCGATCCGTTGCTATTTAAAAAATGTGCGTTTCCAGCGACAATGGGACCGGCATTTGCAACTCATTGCCGGTGCTATAAGGGCCACTGTTAACAGACAAACCGGATTTACCGCCAATAAAATGATGTTAGGGCGAGAGATTCTATTACCTGTAGACATCATGATGGGTGTGGGTGAAAATCAACAGCCTCGAGTACCATCTGATTATGTGGAGGAGCTAGAAGAAGTAATGTCTCAGGTCCATACAATTGCCAGAGAAAATCTACATGGTGCACAAATGCGTCAAAAACGGACCTATGATTTGCAGCTTCACAACCACACATACGATGTTGGAGACTTAGTCTACATGATAGATTCATCAACAAAAATTGGACGATCTAAAAAGCTACAAAAACCTTGGATTGGTCCATTTGTTGTGACTCAGAAGTTGTCACCAGTCCTTTATCGCATAAAGAATCGGCGAAAGGAGAAAGTGGTCCATCATGATAAATTGAAGAAATGTTCTGACCGTGACATCCCAGTGTGGCTGACGAGACTGAGACACACAGTGACAATGGCTGAACCGACACAAGAGGAAGAGAAGGAAGAGGAAGATGGATGCTATCTAGGAAACTTGTATGATGACCAGAGGGGAAACATTCTAAATCAAGATTCAAGAGCCCCCAACAATTCAGGTGATAATCCTACAACCACTTGTGACTCAAACCCTGCTTCAAGAGCCAACTCATGGGAGCGTCGCCGTGTTAGACTGCCAAAGGCATTGGCAGATTATGACTTGTCTTGAGCAAGTAAATCATTATTCTAAACACAGAATGTTTATATCTGTAAATATGTTACTATTATTTCCTTTTCAGGCATTCATTTAAAATTATTATTTTCAGTTAGTTTGTATTTTGTGGCTTGCTAATGCTGGCCAGACTACTCACTTTAATCTTTATACGAGGGATTTAAATAAAACGGGGAGGAATGTTGTGGAACCGAATAGTTCGCGGTACGAACTATCTCACACCTGTATGAATTGACAGTGTTGATGTCCCTTACTTCAGTGAGCCTCGTGTCCCGACCACGGACCGTCTTCTGCAGTCCAGGACAGAAGCATCAGCACAACAAACCAATACACAGAATTATGTATCTTAGTGTAGTCTACTTGTGTGCTAAGTTATATTGAAAACAGACCAAAACTGTACTGTAGGAGTAGCGTTTTGCAAAATCATAAAATTGTTGTACAGACGTAACTTCAAGGCCACAGTTTTATAACAACATGAAAATTACAAGTAGAGCTTTTTAAAAAAGCTTCCCGTCTTTAGCAACAATCTTAAACTGTAAACTGATCTACACCTATCGCGTAGAATTGAATTTCTTGATTTTGTATTTCTACATTAGCTTTTTATGGCTAGCCCTATGGTCATCTCCGTAAAAAATTTGACTCTGATTCCATTTCCTTCTTCAAACAAGAAAGGGGAAAAGAATAATAACAAATTGTAAAGCCTGCAAGCAATAAAAATCAAATTTTATTTATAATGAATAAAGAAATTTCTGGAATTAATTACTGCCCTTTGTCATGATGTAAAATATGACGAAAATTAGATCATACAAGGAACAGCATTTCAACCAATGAAATAATTGAAAATTTTCTCATCATGCATTTTCTAGTTTTAAAAAACAACATGAAAATTACAATCGGCATCATTAAAAAAAAATAAATCTTCATCTTTAAGACAGAAACAAATCAATACAGAGAACTCTTAAGTTGAAAGAGAGTTTATTGCCTAAACTTGTCCGAAGCAAGGTATGTGTCCGATGCATGGTTAACTCACCCAAGTTGATTTAGTTCACCTGAGCTGAGAACCCAAGTGACCTCTTCTGATCACACTTTGTCCGGCCCGCCGTCTGTCTGTAAGCTCTACACATTTTTTTTTAACCTTTCTCAAGAACCAATGGGCCAGTGTAGCAAAGGTTAGTACTAAGCAGCCTTTGGTGAAGGGCAGTTTAAATTGTTCAAGTAAAGGCCCAAGCCCCTTTCAAAGGGGTGAAGGGTAATCAAGAAAAACCAAATATAGGATGGGGTTATAAAAACAAATCTTCTAAGTAACCACTGAACTTGAATGTCTAAACTTTTGGAGGCAGTGTAGCTTCTAAATTGCACAAATTATTATCCCGGAGATATGGTGGAAATTCAACAGGAAATCTAAATTTTACGTTGAAAATATACAAGAAAAATCTTTCAAAGAACCACTGGGCCAGAAAAACTAAAACTTATGTGGAAGCATTCTTGGGTAGTGTAGATTCAAGATTATGCAAATCATGACCTCCCGATGGCAGGACAGGGCTACAACAGGGAATCCAATATCAACATTAAGATATATAGGGAAAATACTTGGTACAATGTAAATGTATTACAAAGGGGGGAATCAGGTGTAAAACATGTGGACCATAGTTACTTATGTGAGCATAGTGGCCCAATGGCCTCTTGATTTAATTGATTACATTTATATCTCAAAACTATGTTTGCTTTGTAGAGTACATATACCCTCTATTGAGCACTATTTGATTCGTTTAGGTTTGTAATTACATTTTACATCTTCCACATGCAAGTTTCAAAACAATTGTTCTTCTAATTATATCCTAAATGGCGTGAATATTTCCCACAAAATTTCAAACTATAAATGATCACGAAACAAGCATGTACAGAACAAAGTATGAGAGGCCATTGTTCCAACCTAATCTACCACATCAACTGAATTCAATTAAGTGGCTGTTTGAAGGTCTTATGATGTTACTAACACCAGGGAACCCCGAAATCCAGAGAACTCGTCACCAGCATGATGTGCAGATTTCACACGAAATTTGTAGGCATCAATAAAGCGGATATAAAGTTAACAATAAATCTTTTTAATATTTCATGTAATCATTAAATTTCGCCTCTGCTTTTATTGCAAGTTTGACTGTTGTTATGCAGAAAATCAATTTATTACAACTTTTTCCCCCCTTATTTGCAATTTTTCCGGGGTTAAGTTCGAGAATAAGCTTTAATTTATTTGCTTGTTATTCAGTGTATAGGAATGAATAAATTTATTGTCATTACTTAACATATGTTTTTTCTATGAAAAGTAAATTTCATTACCTTACGTCAAGATAGGTTTCAATCAATTAACATTTACCACTTCTGTATTTGGAAGTTATATTGTAATTAGACTAGATCTAATTTAAAATATCTTTAAATGTTTAATGTTTCAAATGAAGGGTGCCAAGGGGAGATAATTGGAAATTAATAAAAACTGAAAATCACTGTGCCAGGAAACTGTTTTACAGGTAGTGTAGAGGTATCATGACCCCCGGGGGTAGGGCGGGGCCACAATGACCAAATTTTTAAAGAAATATATGGACAATTCTTTAACAACATACGTTTAGATGTAACTGATTTAAGGAATTTTAAATTAATTTTCTAAAAGTTTTTGAGAGTTTTCTGAGAATCCATATATTTGTTTCACACGGGTGGCCGACCAAAGTTTTACATAGAAATAAAAATAAAAATGTAAAACGTGCTGGAAGACAAGCAATTTGCATTTTCCACATAGAAATATATGACAATTCTTTAAAAACAAGAACTACTGTGCCAGGAAAGCTGAAACTTATATGGAAGATCTCAGAGAGTGTAGATTCAAATATTAGGGCGGGGCCACAATGGCCGACCAAAGTTTTACATAGAAATATATAGGACAGTTCTTTAAAAATCTTCTTCTCAAGAACCACTGTGCCAGGAAAGCTGAAACTTATATAATCCTCAGAGAGTGTAGATTAAGTTTGGGCAGTTGACCCCCGGGGGTAGGGCGGGGCCACAATACGCAAAGTTTTACATAGGAATATATAGGACAATTCTTTAAAAAAGAACCACTGTGCCAGGAAAGCTGAAACTTTTATGGAAGCATCCTCAGGTAGTTTTGTTTTTTTATATCGGGGGTATGCGGGGCCACAAACATAATTTTACAAAGAAATATATAGGACAATTCTTTAGAAATCTTCTTCTCAAGAACCACTGTACCAGGAAAGTAATTTAATTTCAGTGTAGACAATTAAACAATTTTTCCTCGGGGCCAAAAGGCAAAGTTTTATGTAGAAATATATAGGAAAATTCTTTAAAAATCTTCTTCTCTAGAAAAGCAAAGCTATAAATGATCGTTTTTGACAGGTTGTGTAACTCACTGTGACGTAGGCAAAATTTTTATGAAATATATACAAAATAGAATAGCAAAAAATCTTTTACTTTTCAATAAACCAATGACGTTTTACAAGTACAATTAAATTATATAACGTTAAAGAACAGTATTCGACCTCAATAATCCATTAAACACTACAAAACTGGAATTTTAAATTAACTAAAAGTTTTTGAGAGAGCATATAACACGTCTTTATATGTAAAACCTAGACAAGCCATAAAATCAGAGGTTAGATCAGGTGCCACGGTTTATAAAAAAGCATTACTGTTCTTTTTTATATCGTATAACATAAGTTGAAATAAACTTCATTCCTTGTAATTTAATTTCAGTGTAGACAATTAAACAATCCGATATCGATAACTCCGTGTGTGCATAATGGTTTAAATCAGTATGAAAAAAGGCAGCATTTGACTTAATGATAGATCGTGATTGCTTAAATGACATGGAGATTTAAAAATAGACTGCTAATATTCTTGCTTTATCAACTTGTTTGTTTATAACCTGCCTCGTTTTTGTTCGTACGCAAAACATGCTCGTCCTTACTGAACCGAGAGATAGTAAGCCCCTATGCAGGTGACCAAGGCATATCGCTATTCCTATTAAGGAACAAGTATTAAATATAGGTAATATTAATATATACATATTATAATAATATGAGTGAACCTTACAACGTTTCTGATTTTACCGTCGGTATTAACAGCTCCCAATGACCACTACACTGCGCATGCATGTATTTGGCCTTCGCAAAATTGTTGAAAATCATAAAAAAAAAACTTGGTGTATTCTTTAATAGCAAAATTATTCGTACTTAGCAAGTAATAGCACAGCAGTCTGAAGTTTTTATCGTCAAAAAAAAAAAATCCGGAAAATTTTTGGCAAATATTCACTGCGGAGTTCACTTCCGGTTTAGTGGCATGGAATCCAGGATGAACTGTCAAAGTGGAAAAGGGGCCAGGAACGGCCCGTAGTCGTCAAGCAGGTTGGATTTCCTAATTTGAATAAATAGCACAAACACTCCGGATACTGAACTAGTCGGAATTTTTTTCTGGCCAAGCCCAGATCTATTTGTTTAGGCGGATACCCCCAAAACACGTTGCCAGCCTGGTGTTTTGTTTTTTTTTTAGCTCAGGGTGGGAAATTTCTTTTCCGATTTTTTTTTTACTTTAAAAACTTCAGACTCCTATGGTAATAGGAAGTAAATTTAGACTGAAGTTTTTTAAGACCACGTTAAATATAAGTAATCTTTATTCTTATGCAGAGTAGGCCTTTGAACCAAAGGTGTTAAAAAATATTTCTCTATTGCATTTCATTTTTTTTTTTGCTCCATTTTCTTTGTGTTATCCTTCATTCTTTACAGGAACTGTACTTAGGAATGATCAATTTTATATGTAATTGGTTAGAAACCTTACCTTAATCTAACAAAAATTTAGATTATTTTATTTCTTTCAAAAAATTAAGAAATAGGAATGTTTATTTACTATTGCTTTGTGTTTTATAATAGTTTTTATCAAAATATTTTTTTTCAAATATTTAAAATAAAATGGAAAAATGCTTTTAGATTATTCTT